TTTCTGTAGAAATAGCCACAGCGCCATATATTCATGTTATGGAATGTAATGGAATATTCACATATTCCATGCCATGTATTCAACAGAGATGGCTCCCAAGGCCACCAAACCATGCAGATTTGTAAACTGCAATAAATTACCAGTGTCAGAGTATCACTGGAGGTAATAATTAAATAACTGCAATTCCAGACTTTTAAAGTTCACCGCAAGTAAACTGAGAACAAAATGAAAAATCACACACCATTATCAATTTGAAGAACTTTATCCAAAACCACAATTTCCATCTTATATTAACAAAACTTGTCATTTTCACCATAGTAAAGGAATGAACCAGTGCTAAGTACAGACACAGTGAAAGCAGTCAGTAACTGGAAAAAAACATAACAGGAGCTTAAAAGAGTACATTTCTCTTAACTAAATTTGCTAGTTACAGTAAACTTGGAGAAAGCAGAGGGCGTTTTTAAAGTTGTTTTTTCTTTACAGATAGAGCTCCACAATCCAAGAACAATGATTACAACAGTAAAAGTTTTTCTAGAAACCAACCCATGTATTACAAAAACAATACAGAGAATTCCTGCAAACCTGATAGTGTACAAAACAGGGTAGCAGAGAGAAAGCACAAGAGAATTAAATTGTCCAGGATTATTAAGAAAAAGTAACAGTGCATACTAAAGGGCTCCTGTAAAGTTGCTTTACATGAACTGAAGAATATAATTTCCATATGACTGTGACTTTGTGTGAAGCACAGATGCTTTCAAAAGTGTCACCATTTAGCTTTTTTCTGGGGGGTAAGAAGCCCCAAATAATTAGGCAGTATTTGAGATAACTGAAAAACAAACATAATAGGCTACCTCACAAAGCTAACTACCAGATTTATTTACATACATACATACATAAGCTTCACATTTCACTGAGACTTTGTACTCCACTCCTTCTAAACTGCTGAACTTCAGAACTGGCAGAGGACTCAGAGAAAGAACAAGTATTTCTCAGCTTAGGTACTCATACTAGGAAAAAATAGTGCAACTGTTTGCTACATTATATACCCTTCCAGCACATCTATCAAAATATTCAGACTCGGTTTTATTACCTGCTCATTTAAAAAAATACAGCATTCTTCTTTCTTTCTTGCTTTTGATTAGGAAATTACAAATATCTTTACATTTAAAAGAAAACCCCAGCAAGCCACAGCTAGTCCTGCAAACTGATCCAGTGAAGCAGATGTCAGAAGTCTAGAAGAAGTGTTATTAATGCAGTTGACTCCAGGTGGAGGCAAAGGTCCCTCTGGATACAGCAGCGTGAAGGCTCAGGAACTTGGATCATTCCTACGGAGGCAGCAACTGAGACGGGTTCCAGGCCTAGACCTGAAACAGTTCAACCTTATTTGTTCATTAGTGGGAGTGAACTCCTCAGGAAATGCGATATCACTGAGCTCAGGAGCTCAGGAAGCTCCCAGACCACAGGGCTACACAGCTCCCTCAGTTCTGGCAAAAGAATGCACTGTATTTTGTGTACAATGAGATTTCTAAATGTTCAGTCTGGCTATAGCAGCTTGGCTGTGCATCTGAGAACTGCAGGTGTGACTAGATTTGAAATGGCTTAGCACACCATGGCTGTTTTTCTTTACTGAATAGGCTGCTCTTTAATGGCCCTGACCCCACAGGAAATCACAGGCAGCTTTTCCGTTCTCCTTTGGGCCCGCTCCCGCTGCCTCACCTCACCCAAGAGCACTATCGCTGATTCTGAGCTGCTAAAAAAACAAAGGATTTTGGGTTGGGAAAAGCTCACTAAATGATGGCTGTAGAACAGTGCAGTGTATTTTAAGGTCTGAGTTTTTGAAAGGTAACTTTGCATTGTATGGATACAGCTACGAAACTTCGTGGCCACGTCTTGCTCTTCTGCTTAGGGGAAACACTGTGGTTTGCTAAGGCAGATGATGATTAAGATTTTTTCCCATGAAGAGATCTTGTGTTCTTTGCCCTCACTGTGGAATGTTCTTGCTGATCACTAACCTTACTCTCAGAGGTCAGCCAAGGAGCTGGCTAAAATAGGCTGAAGAACAGTGCTGGCTTCCAAATGCTCACGTGCTCTGATACCAAGGAATGAAAGAATATAGCAAAGACAAGGGGAGAAATAAAACGAAGTCATAGAGACAATGTGATGGTGACAATGAGTTTAAAGAGATGGATGTGAGTTCACATCAGGGCAATATGGGGAAGAATGAAGAATGATACAGACTAAGGACTGGGCAGTGACTTGGAAGATGTTCTGTGAGTCTCTTGCTTGCTTCTGTTCTCAGCATCTTTGGAGTCTGGATAATAGTAAGATCTCCTTTGAGACCTACTGGCAAAAAACTGAAGATTAAAATGAGACAATGCTACTGTACAGATAATACTTGATTCATGAACATTCCATGCTTAAGAAAATAGGGTGTTTTTTGCTTTTGCAGGAAGACTGAGCAAAGCTTTGGGAGGTAAATTTTCTATGTATTCTACCAACACAGGAACCTTTTAGAGTGTTTTCTACAACTGAAAATAGTAGCCTGGGAAAGATAGAATTGGTGGCACAATGTTCCCAAAATTTCCCAAAGAGAAGGAAACTATTTGTGCTCACACAAAAGGGCACTTTCCTTGATACCAACAGCTCAAGTCTGCCCATGTCACTCAGGAAAAATGGCCTTCAGAGACAGGTCCTTGAGAGGATTGTGACATGTTTGTGTTATCAGAGTTTTCTTTTCCAGTTCCTGGCTGTGTTGCTATAATTTCCAAACCAGCAAAAGTAGATCTGGCCATGTTGTTTCAGTGTAAATCCACTGGGACAGGCCAGAATGTGATAAAATTGTCATGCATTTTGTTCTGCAAAGGCAAGTATTTCCCTGGAACTGCTTATGTAGGTAATTGGACACTTTCTTTCTCCTTTGTGCCTGAAGGACCACAAACTAAAATGGGACATGACTGGTCCATAGCTGCTAGGAGTTCCCTACATGTCCAGAGAAGAGCATTTTTGAGCAGAAAAGATGAGGTAAAAGGCAAGGATAGGTTGCATGAGGAAAACACAAGAAGTCAGTGTCAGATTAAGGACAGGAGGAGACTATAAGGCTCAGGATGCCTTAATTGCTTTCTTAGACAAGGGGTAAAGGGCTAAATGCAGGTTAATTTGACCTTATGGCGACTGAACAATGTACCAGTAACGTTATAGCTAACAATATTGATCTCTGGCTCTTCTCTGTGAACGGAACAAATGTGCTTGTTTCCCTGAGGATTATCAGGCTGTGAGGTGAGGAGGGACATGCTGTACCTGGTGTTTAGCTCACACTCAGCTCTGGCTGTGTGTCCAGGAAGCCAGCGGGGCTCAGAGGGACGGAGCAGCACTTAATGAACCACTCAGCTCTGCCTGTCAGAACCCTCATGGCTGACATTATCACCAGGGACCTCACTGCCCTTTCCTTCCTGTGCACTAACCACATGAAATCCAATTCTCCAGAGCTCCCAATGTTCCAAAAGCACAGACGCCTTTTGATCTGATTCTCATCTGTAGTCTATTTACCTCAAAAGAAAATCACTTTTAAAAAGAGCAATTTTCCAGATTCTACTCTGTGATTAGCCACAGGAAACTCAGTCAAATTACCTTGAATAAATGGACAGTGCTACATGAAATTAATAACTCTCAGCAGCCTGCAGAGAAATGTGAAGAGGATATTAACAACTGGAATTGCTTGAGAATAGCAAAATAAGCTTTTAATAATAGAAAAAATACATATCCATAGACTAGAGGCTCCTGTTTTCATTCAGTCCCAGACACAAAGGTGTATTTTGTCTTTTATGTTCAAATGGCTGTACAGGTAAGACAGTAATGGCTGGATGCTTCTATTCACTCTTGATTTGGGACTGGTTATTACAGTCTGCTCAGCAGTTGGGTGGGATGCTAAGTGGCCTGAAGTCCCATCCCAACTGAGGATTTTGGAGCAGGGATCTCCTTACTTCTGAGGTATCCACGACCTCATCTGCCCACTGAAAAGGCTAACTACATTATTTGTAGCACACGAGTCTCTTTGCTACTATTGTTGCATCAGTTTCAAAATCGGTTTTTCAGTTTCTCAAGTGTGTTGACAAGAAATACAGGGTGCTAATGCTGTGGGCAAGCACAGACTCCTACTTGCAGATAAAAATACAGCAGGAATATCTGTGTGGGTTTGCCCACTCAGTTCTCCTTTCTAATGTGCCATTGCACCCATCTGAATAATTGTTCAGCCTTTAGTCTCTTTGCTATGGTGGCTGCACAGCTGCTGTGTCGAGCTGCTGGCTGCTTTGGGAAAAAAAGAAATTCCTTAGAGGGAGTTTGATTATTTGATATGTTGCCACAGATCTCTAGAGGCCTAAAAGAGAATCATTAGGGCACCCTAGGCTGTTGGCTCATCGGTAACTTTGCAGGGCAAAGGTGCTTCTTGTGTTTGTACAATGAGGTTGCACAACAGAGCTGGAGGTAAAACACCTCTAGAAGCAGAGCATTTAGAAAGTGATTTGCTTCATCTGCCACAGAATGAACTGTATTAAGGATTTTCTAACTGCTCTCTGTGCTAGACAGTTTTAATTGAAGCATTGATCAAGTGGAATCTTTTTCTCAGTCTGATACACAAAGTGCTCAGCAAAGCACAGAACCCTCTTCTTTTGAAGAAAGGCTTCAGAAAACAGCTCTGGGAAATGTGTTTGGGCTTTCTCATCACTCCTCAGTGAGTGACATCAATTATCCAGCTGCCTGGCTCCATGGAAAGGAGATACTACAGTCCTCCAAGTCAAGCTGTGTTGACAGCTTGAGAGGCAACATAATTCACAGAACCATGCCTGTGAAACATCCACCACTCAGCCACTGCTCCATTCCCCTCTAGCTTCTCTGAACTTGATGATGAATTAGTGCCCCTTTTCAATGGTTTGATTTAAACCTTCGCTAACCTCCTAGAAGACAAAAGTGGTTGTAGTCAACATAGCCAGAGCACAACATCCAGAAATAGCTCTGGCCACTGCAATTTAGGGATCTTCAATACACCTGACAATATCCCACACAGACCCTCACATGCAGTATCCTTGTACCTGCATCCTAAAACTAACTTTTTCTCCTGACAGAGAAGCTGTACAGTTAGTGTGCAGTTTGAGGCAGCAAATGCCTGCACTTGCTGCTTACACCCAGCTTGCCATGTCACCCTGTCAAGCCAATTACTTAATTTAAAGTTTTGTCTGGCCCTTCTTGACAACACAGCCTCTAACAATGAAAATATGTATGATGATGATTTGGATGCAGGAGGTGGAACTCATTGTTTTCCAATGCTCCTGCTATTACTATTCTATTACTATTACTATTTTCACATGAAAGTAGGGCATTTTCTTTGGGAAAAGCAACACAAAAGTGTCACTTGGTTTCACTGGCAGAATAGTGGTCCTTTGCTGTTCCCACTCTAATGCTTTTCTTCATGGTTGAAGAGTTTAGTCCAGTGCTCTGGGAGAGAGATGTAAACATTGCTAATTGCACTAAGATTAATATTCTAGGAAATTTAAGCAAAGCACTCCACTGGCAAATTCATTAGGCAGCAGAATAATCCCACTGGGCAAGTACCATCGTGTCAAACTGGTTTTAGTCATGGTGGAAATGTTTTGCTCTTTATGCAAAAATGCTTGCAGGATCTGGCCTAACTAGACAGCCTGCAGGAACAGTGAAGAAAAGTCCGTGAGTAACTGCTACAATTACAAAGGCAACAGAATATCAGAAAATGGCTGGGGACAGTACATTACATTAAGCAATATTTTCATGGATCCTACATGTTTACACACCAGACCTTGTCCTGCTCAATTCTTCACTGGAAACTTCTCTGCAGCTTTCCAACAGCTTCCTTTCTGCTCAGCAAGAATAAGGAGGGGTGCAAAAACAAACATGGTGCACCATTTATGCAGCTCCCCTGCTTTTCATTGTCCTGTGGCTATGAAGGAATTAATAGTTATTTTAGGAAATTAAAATTGTAATTTTTCTATAATTCTTAAGACTACAGTTATTTTATTGGACAGAATTTGCTTTCTTTCCCTTTGATTTTTCAGAACTGGGCTTCTCAAACTTTTTCCCAGTATAGTTCTTGTCTGTCCTCAACCATCTTCACAAAATCCTGCCTTCAAATAGGAAAATAACAACATGCACAGAAGCTCATAATTGTTTTTCTCAGCCTCAAAATAACGTAATTTCTTTTCTCCCCATTGTTAGCTCTGTTTGCATCTTTCCTAGCTTTAAAGGACAGTTCATAGAGAAGGAAAAAATATAGACAGTGACTGGTTATAAGTACTGATTTGGGGCATGCTTCTTTGATTCAAATAACTGTCCACCAGCCCTGCAGGAAAATGGGTTTAAAGAGAAAAGACAAAAATCCAAACCTCTCTATAAATTCAGCAGCTCTTAGCTCAGCCTCAAGCGCAGTGGCAGGCAAGTGTCAAAAATAGTCTCTGTGCCTGCAGACAAGGCTTTCTGGAATTAGGGTAGTAGCTATATGAGACAGAAAACCTAGACAGTACATGCAGACACAGAAGAAGAGTTTGTCTGCTGCTCTCAAAGTACATACATTTTATGTATTGTTACTTAATTTTTACAGGAGTGAAGGCGGATTTCCAACAGCCTTTTCTTTTTTGTCTCAAGATTTTACAGTCTCTCAAGCAAGGAAGGCTACAGCTTGTCTTGAAAAGAAACAGCTCTTGAAAATGAAGTGCCCATGGAAAAAATGTAGTAAAAATGTTGCCTCTCAGTGGAACAAATCCAAAGGATAATCAGAGTCATTACCTAAAGCCAGCTGTAAAAGAAATCTTTCCCAAGACCCTCACCAGAACCCAGAGATATATTAATACTGAGATATAAGCACTTGCACATTTGACACTTACTACTTTTCTTGTGTTGTTGCTACCCCAGGACATACCTGACTCTTGAATTCATTCCCACAAAAGCACAGAAGTGCCCAACCTTTCTTTCAGTTTTATCTTTCTCACAGACATATTCACTACTAATTAGGCTTCACAATTTTCCCATCATTCTTTTAGTACATAAATAACTTTATGAAAGTACACAGCAGCTGTAAGAAATCTGGATTGCAGTCCAATGAGATGAAAAGTGTGGTATTGGGCTTTTGCTTCCTGGAAGGGACACATATACAAACCACAGCAATCCAGTACCTTCAGACAGAAATGGGAACTTGTGCTGCTACTCTGTTTATCATTTTGTCCTTTGAAATTCAGAGGGTCTGCAGAGCAGCAATAGCTGTGCCTTCTCCTGAACATCAGGCAGGTTCAGCATCACTTTATTAAGTACCAGCTCCAGTTACTGATCCTGGAGGGCAAGTAATAGACAGCCTGCATCTGCCTGTCATGGCTAGAGACTCATCATTTTGAACACAGCCCAGGAGTCTACAGCCATGTTGAAGACTCACACATGATGAACTTGGCCTTCATCAGAACCGAGCCAATGCCAACCACTTGGTCCATCTAGGAAACGAAGATGTCCAGAAAACATGACCTAGAACAGTCCCATATAACATTATACCACATTAAAAAATGCACCAAAAAAACCCCAAAAACTGACAAATTGCAGAAGAGCTGCTAGAAAAATCTACAGTAGAAAATAATCACTTTCTATATAAATATCTCTCTGTATTTACTATACCCAAGTTGATCTCTCTTTCATTACATTTCTATACAAAACTGGTATTGGCTCTGTTCTCAAATAAAACTCTCACCTCCAAACAATTTGCATCCAAACTTTCTGCCATCAAGACTTAGGATGATTAACTTGCATTTCATTTCCATGATTGTAGCAGCACTTAATCAACAAAGTCTCTACTTATATGTATTTATATAGATATACATGTATATATACACACATACATACACATGACAAATACTGTTGAAGATTTCCTTTCTTCCAGTGTTTGTAGTGACAGTCATCCTAGAAGGTGAAGGCATACACCACTCCCACAACCACAATATTTCCAATTGTTGCTATTATTGCAATCCATAACAATATGGCATCATTTGAAGAACGAGATGTCTCTTCTGGTGGATTCTGCATGGAAGAAGCTGCATGGACGTTGGCTGATGAGTTAAACAGGGAGTACTCTGTACTAAAGTCCTCGTTGGGTGAGTCCATAAAGGCTCCTCCCATAACAGGAAGCTGTGAAAAAGAACATGGCAAAATCAGACTGAAAGCTATTATCTGCTTTTGCATTGTCTCAAAGTCATTATGAAAGACTAACCATTAGCTAACTTGCAAAATTACTGAGATTTCATATACGCGGTGCTAACCTGTCAGGAATATCACACACTATGATATTTCTCCCATTTCTATTGTAATCAATATTATTGAAGAAAACCTACATTTAATACATGCAATATACAGAAGAGCTAATGTGCAGGCTTCAAGTCAGCCTAAGTAATTATATGCATTTAGAAGAGATAGCCATATACACAAAGCATTCACATACCAGAACTTGAGTTGATAGCAACAGGATTGTTTTGTGACTACAAAGTAAAAAGTAAAAGTAAAGCAAAGTAAAGGTATCGTGTCACCACAAGACATTGCAGAAGCACAGTGAGAACCTGAAGAGAATTTGTTCTCCTCTTATGTATCACTCAGAAGCAAACTCTTGGTTTATGTAGAGATCATGTAAGAAGTTCTTACTGTAAAAGAGGTGGAGTGTACTCAGCGCACTAACTTCACTTGCAAAACTCACCACTGCAACAATCCAGGATTTATAAATCAATACAATGGAAAGCTTCAAATAGGATTTTGAAAGGCTCCATCACAATGGCAGATTTCCAAAAGTTTGCCCATACAAGACTTCTCCTGCTGTAAAGGGCAGCGTTTCTTTAGTGCTCTTAGATTTCTCAGCAGTATCAGAAAATGTTCTGGGTAAGGTAACAATTACTCAATACATTATGTGAAAGATAAAAGAAGAAGAAACTGTTTAACCTTGTCCTTTTACATGTTCTTATTGTCTTACCAACTTCATTCCACATCACAACACATATTTTTTAGGGTTCAAGAACTATTCTACCTCTACATAGTGATATAAAATTACATCCTTCCGCAAATAATCGGTTTCCTCATTCAGGCAAGAGAAGGATTCCTACTGTAGTAAAGACCATTTATTACCAAAAAAGCTTCACACAAAAGCTTTTTGCTTCCATCCTCGTCCCTTGGATGTTTAGCAATGCAGAGCTTTAAGAGTCTCCCCTGACTTACTGATTACAGGCTCCTGGTCTCTTGTAAGTATAGGACATTGTTTCAGAAAAAGCTGCAGAACATCCACTTCACATATCTATAAATGCTCAGGACACATGTTTCTGAATATCCTGAAAAAACCACCAGCAGTGTGGGTATGGTAAAGCCCCAAGTCTCTGCAGTGCTCTGCAACCAGACTCTGTGAGGATTGTAGTATGTAGGTAGACCAAACCCACAGATTTATTTGATTAAAAAAAAACAACAAACAGAGCCATATGTCTAAATCTTTCTGCCAAAATTCCATCATGGCATCGATGATCAGTTTGATTTTGAGCAATGAGTAAAACCTAGACATCAGTGCAACCTACCTACATTCCCCTTTCAGATCTGGTAGGAATCCAGGGCTTCAGGGAAAGCTGAGAAAAGTCTGGGAACATTGTCCTTAAGAAACACCTTCACTGTACCTTCACCAGCCAACTTTTCCTTCCTCACAGTGGTTTCCACACTGCTGCTGTCATCCTCAACCTTTAGGCATAATCTCCTGTTTTACACCCTATTAGTAAGTGTCTTTGGGGTTTTGGTATTATTTTTCACCTTTCTCAATAGGGCTCTCTTCTACTCTAACTTCCAGAGTTATATTGGCCTGTAACAGAGGAACAAGCCTTGCCTTCATTCAGCCATATCACAGAAGGCTGCTATACCTTCAGCCCTAAACTACACTGTCAAATACCCACTGAGCTGAAAAATCACCTCTTTTAGCACCCTGTCCTTCATTTCCTGCATCACATTTTGATTCTCTCAGTAACCTCTCCCTTTGGAACCAGACTACATCCATTCTGGCTGTGTGCAGCTGTGCTATGGAGGCTGCTGAAATGTGAGGACAAACCATCTCTGCTCTCTACACTGCCTTAATCTACAGAATACACCAAAGACTTTGAGAAGTCTGAGAATGAAGTCATGTTTCTGCTTGCCGTGTGTAACATTTTACAGAGATATAAAAGACAGGCTCTTTTTCAAAGCTGACTGCTGAACAAATTTCATCTGTACTAGAAAATATCATGTCACATTCAAAATTAAACAGAGAACGATGAAAGACCACAGTGGATATGTCATGCTACCTAATCCACATTAAATAAAATTATCTGTGATATCAAATATGATTAGACAAAAGCAGTTTACAAGAAACCAAGCAGGAAATTGCAAAAGTAAAGTTTGATACGTTCTCCCTCCATCAAAGATTTTTGCTGGCAGTTTCAACACAGTGTGGTTTAAAAGAGAGCAAACCCTTCCATTTCAAAAGCCCAGCTTGATGGTTTGAATCCAATTCCACCAGCTTTTTTTTTATGTCTTGCGATTTGATAAGGAAAGCATTTCTCAGTTTAATCAAAATTTCTTTTTATGTAGAGATTGCCATAAAAGGCAGTTCTGACTTCAAGTAGAAGTGTATTTATGCAGTGATGATGCCACGTAACAGCTACAGAGACTCTAATTAAAGATCTTTGCAGCAAATGACAGAAATACATTCACCATACTGGTAGCAAAACGCTCAAGCAGAGGTGCTTGCTTCCTTAGCAAATCATTTTAAGGTTATCAGCATTTACAATAGTCAATTCTGCAAAATCCTTCAAAACTGAACAATCATCCCAAGTACAGAAGTATACACACATGTGCATGTGCCCAGTACAGTGGGAGGTCATAAGCACTGTTCTGCTAATTGATACCTGGGTTTTGGGCCACACATTGTGTGCCCTCAATGAGTTATTTGAAATGACAAGCTTCCACCCTGTTAGCTCCCCTGCTGCTGTCACAAAGGCAGGGAGAATCCGTGTAGCAGCACAGCTACACAGCACGCTGTAAATGATGTCAAATCTGAATCTCCTTGTACTGTCTATGGCTCAAACAAGCTGTCTGCACCATCTGAGGGGAGCACATGGTGAAACAGCTCCTCTGAATCTCTGAAAGGCTTGAGGTGACCTGGAGTAAAGCGCTGACATTCAGCACCTCGCACAGGCTCTTTCTGTAAGACTGACTTCCAGTTTTTCTGTTTGTAGGTCAGTAGCACTTCATCACAGATCTGGAAGTAAACCTTCCTGCCAATTTCCCATTTGCAAAAATCATCTCTTGCTAAATGTGCACTCTCCCTTCTCACCGCTACAGCAGCCTCACATAAGAGCAGGAGGAACGGCCATATGGTGTCCGACAAAAAGTCCATCTCCCCTGTGTGTTAGCTCCAACAGTGGCCATAAATAGATGCTTAGCAGAGTAACAGGAGAAACATGTCTGATACTACCCCTTAATAACTCACAGCCTCTGATTGTTTTCAGCTTAGGAAGTTCATAAGCCAGACACTATTGTTACGGATTTAATAATTTGTAAAGAATTTTGCTACCATGAACTTGTCCAGGCTCTATCTGAGCTCATCTGAAGCTGAGCATCCTTCTCAATCTGGACTCTTGGTGCCTCTTAACAGTCAGGGATGTCCAGTGATTAGAGTCATGAAAATCAGCCTTGGGAGATATGCCATCTCTCCACGGGAGAGAGGGATGATTAGTACAAATGGCAATCTATCTTTTTGGTAGATTAAATTCAGTGAAATTAATCTCATCCTCAGTCTTGATGTCTTCATTCTCCCAGTAAGGTACAGTATCTTCCCTCTGCAGTCTTATTTGAGATTTTACATTAAAAGCAATGAGACTTCCAGACCTGACACTAATGGGAGTTGTGAAGCACTTGTGATTAACAACAGGCTAAGGACAGAAACCTGCAATGCTCTCTGTGGCTGCTCTATTTTTCTGCCTGTGCCTCTACGAAGTAAATATATGCCAATTTACATCATCCCAAACCTTCACCCATGTGGCTGCCATTACAGTGACCTGCAGTTTGTTTTAGCCTCAGAGAGTATTTCTGGTTCAGGCAAGGCTGCCACCCTCCCCAGGAGCACTGGGCAAGGAGGGCAGGGCAAAGGGTTAACGGGGAAACATGACAGTGAGGGACATGACAGGAGCAGATGGCAAGGGGTAATGCTGTGCACACTGGAAATGAAACTCCTTTCCTAGCGATTGTGTCGGCATTCTTAAGTAGCAGTAATAGTACATCGCTTGCTAAATGGCTTCTGGGACTGGCAAAGAAAGAATTGAAATAATTAAATAGCAACAGGCAGAAAACCAAACGGCAAAATGTCAAGTGGTAATGAGAACACCCACTGCGCGGAACGCCTCCCACTGGCATGCTCTGGGGTCACGAGGAGAGCAGGCTCTTCAACAGTTCTGTGATACATTTTCTAGTTAGCAGAAGAATCCTATTTTATAACCAAAGTGATTCACAGGAATGAAAAACAGCATGTCATATAGCAGTCACTGATACTATGACAGCATCCTTAAGCAGCAGCATATAAAATCTATTCCTTAGCAATAACATTGCTCCATTTCTTTGAGAGTTGGGTGTCTGACATTTTTTCATAGTCAGCTAGAGAATTGTGACACTTGGCTGCTGCTACCTTGTTGGGAAACCAGGTTTGGCATAGATATTTGAAAGCACAGATGAATCTTCTAGTGAGAAACTAAGAAACCTCAGCAGCAGCTTTAACAGCTCTGCTCTTTGCTCTAGTCTCACCAAGCATCACTCTAGGAATGGGATGCTAAGAGGCGAAATGTCACCACAGGTGCTGTTTTGTAAAATACATGTTGCTACTTCAGAATATTTAACTTTCCAGTGTTTCTTTTTTTTTGTTAAATTTTAGATATCATACTTTTACAAGATGGTATGATTTGAACACATAAAGTGAAATTATTATTTCCTTCTGCCCTGATAGCATGTGATCACTGCAGTGCATATTTATGTCTGAAAACATTCTACCTGCAGTCATAAATTAATCTAACACAGTTGCCAAAAGCAGTACCAATATATGGTTCCACAAATTCACAAATTCTTAAGCTCTTTTTAAATAACTGGTTTTTTTACTAAAGAGATATGCCACATCACCAGTATTCTCCCCACAGTAATTCTCTTGTGTCTCACAAAATGATGCATATATATATATTCTCTTTATCTAAAGTACACACTGCAAATGAAGATGTCCTATTGGCTATTATTGATTTACAGGTAATATCTGGAGAACCAAGTTCTTCTGTTCACTGTTTGCCAGAATATCACCCTACTGCACACAATGCAGACTGGGTGCACAGTGACAATCAGGACTTGTTCTATGTTCACTGCAAGTGGATTCGCTTGAACGCATTAAACCCACACACAAAATTAACCACCACCTAAGGCAATCCTCTTTAATTTAATTAAATACATCTAATTCTGAAGAGGAAGATCCATGAAAATGTTTTATGCAGTTAGCTTCAAATTCTCATTTTAATTGATTCAGATTCCTGCTTCATCCTGAAATCAGTCTTGGGCTGACAAGCTTAGAAAAAAACAGATGCTTATTTTCAAAATATAATTGTCAAAGTGTTCACCCTACCAGTGGCAATTGAAAATTTTCACTCCAACATGGAGGCATCAGGATTTCACCTGTTATTTTAATCTTGTTAAAAACTTTCCAATTTATCAATCTCTGCTTTTCTTCCAATCCTTTACATTCCCAGGGCCTGTGTATTACTTCCTCCACTGCTTTCCAACCCACGCTAGGCTAGATAAAATGCCCTTTTAGATGACAGCATTGTTCAAAGTTGTTCCATATCAGCAGTATCTCAGATTTTGAGCCTGTTGAACCACAAACACCAAGAGCTGCCTTGATCAGCAGATGTCTAGATATTTAGGAAGGAACAAGCCAGGATGCTCCAAGACGCTGCAGCAGACACTTCACCTCTGAGTT